TCCCTCACTGTGGGGACGTTGATCTGCCTACCCCACACCCCTTCCCTCACCCCTCTGCCCACCACAGCAGACTTACCAGCTGGAAGCAGTTGTGTCCAGCGTAGTGAGGACTGCTGCCTGTTTAGTCTGTGGCTGAATCTCCGAATCTCTGCTGAATCTTCAGATTTGAATTGACTGAACCAAATTGGGACAGTGATTCGAATCACCAAATTGAATCGCTGTCCCTCTGAATCAGCTGAATCCAAATCTGAAGTCAATACTTGCCACTTCGCACAGGCCTAGTGGTGACTACTTAAGATCCCAGAACTTGTTTTATTTTATCAGTTCATTTAACGTATGAAGATATGAGCAAGAAAATGAAAATAATAATATTACAGAAATGGAAATCACTCCTATTACAGCAGAAGGATGTACTAATCTGAGTTCCCTGGCACAACTTGGAAGGTTAGCTTTCTGTCTGAATGCTAAAGAGTACTTTAATTTAGAGAGAGATTATCTTCCTTGGGCTATATGATTAACATATTGTAATTTAATTTTTGTATTATATTTGCCTTTGTTAATAGAAATGCTGCAGATAATGGTTTTAGAGAAAAGAGATAAGGTTTTAAACTTCATTACTATTTTTATTTTTATTATGGTAATGCCCAGAGGATTCTTTAGAACAGCAGCCAGCAACCGTTTTTAGGCTGCCAGCTGGAATGAACCAGCTGAGGGACAGATGGCCATGTGAATGCTAGGAACCTGCCACTGTCGCTACTACTCCCCATGGCAGAATGGGGAAACTCCTGATGCTGAGTGTTGCAAAAGCCCTATCCGCAATCCGGATTAGATAGCTTAGTGGGCTGGATATGGCTCACTGAGTGAAGGTTGCCAGCTCCTGCTTTATAATGACCTTGCTGTGTGTTGGTACTGTACAGAAAGTAGTGAATTAAAGGTCTTGGCCCAGAAACTTTGTGTTTAAAAAAAGGATGAAAAAGGCTAGGAAGAAAGAGAATACTAAACACGCACATGCACACATACTAGTTTCCATGTAAGTAAATACATTTTTGTATGAATATTTTTATAAATATTGATAATTTCACCTGCTGTCAGCTTACCAGACACTTGTTCTCAGATTACTTGTAGGCTTTGTGGTAAGAATAAATATTGCAGAAAGAAATGGAAGGCACATAGGTTCACAAGGTGCTAGATGATATACAGATATAGGTAGAACCATTCCATAACTTAAAGAACTGCAGCTGTAGTATAAAGTAAGAGGGGAAAGGAAGAGAAAGGGGTGATGTGACACCAAGGCTAAGTACAGACAGTCAAAAAGCCTGAGGCTGAATTGATTCAGTCTTTGCAGGTTAGTCTTAAGCGCCAAATATTGAACCAATAAGCAAATGAACAGACGTTCACTTTTGATTCAGGAAAGGCAGCCACATGCCTACAGTGGCTCAAGCCAGGGTGGGGGAGAGGGGTGCTAGAGTAGGGCCCTCTGGCGTGTAGCCAGCATGGGCTATGTATTTGCTTTCCTCTTCCTGCTGCCCCCAAGGTCTCTGGGATTTGCAGTCCACAATCACAGTAGCAGGCCTCTGCAGGGTCACTCATCACTTCCTCTTCTTGCTTCTAGGTGCCTCTGGGATTTGTAGTCCACAGTTGCAGCCTAGGATTTGCCCCTGGGACTTTTAGTCCTAAGTAAGCAGGTCAGGGCAGCTTCACATTTGAGGGAAGGGAAGTTTAACCCCCCTCCCTGGTTCCAGATCCCAGCAGGGGTTTGCCAGGGGGAGGAGGGGAAGGGGCAGGCCGTGAGCCAGCCAGTGAGGCCAGTGAAGCAGCTGTCACTGCTCCAGCTAAGGAGCAGAGGGGTAGGACCAGCCCTGCTCTCTGGAGCAGACAGCCCAGCCCAGGGCTGCAAAATGTTGGGATGCTGCGGGATTGTGATTTCACTTGAATCAGGAAGGGGTCTGAGACAGAAGTTTCATAAATTGGTTTGACCTCAATTGGTTAAGTCTGATACTACATTCAACCAGGTTTATCTTAAACCATTTTCAACCATTTTGAAATTGGTTTATGTGCACTGAACTTCTATTCTGTTACAGGTTTAAACCAGTTTCTGATCACTTAAACCTGTTTGTGTAACTTCTGTCCCTAGCCTAAGGTTCTGAAACTTAAGCCCAGTGCGCTATTTAGTAAATTACTGGTGCTCATCATTTGGCCCTGTGGGCTGGGTAAGTGACACGGGTCAAGTCTGTGGGCCAGATTGGGCTTCACATACCAGAATCAGGCCCCACCCCACTCTGCTCAGCTCCTTGCCATCCGGCACGGCCTCCCTTGACCTCATGCCACCCCTGTCAGTACCATGCGCTTAATCTATCATGCAGGGCTGTACTATCCATCCTGCAGGGCTCTTACCTGCATCTGGAAATTTGGGGGCAGGGGAATGGCAATTAGCTGCCACCACTCCACTGCTGCTAAATTTTCAGGCCCATGGGCAGCTCCACATGCTGCACAACATGGCCTTGTGGGCTGATTTGGCTCATGGGCCAGGGATTGAGCATCCCTGCAGTACACCGTACCACCTTTCTGCTTTAGTTACTATTTTGAGGCTATATAAAAGGTGATTAGATTAACTAATAGTTTCTATCAGTATTTTGAAACCCTGTGTAAATCATAATAAGAATTTCTATGGCGCAAGAGAGTAATGCTTCCAGAATCTGATGCAGATAAATGTAAGTGGGTATATCATGAAAGATTTTAAACACCTTGTTTGTTAGTAGTTCCTAAAACTGGTTATTCTGTACCTTGTTACAGTAATGCATATAATATACAGTAATGCAAATATATTCTTAAGAAAGCCTAAGAAATGAGCATGTAAAAAAGACTACCATTGAAAAAATATGATATTCAAATGCATTAAATATTTTATTTGCTAGAGAACAGTAACTATAGTATTATTTACTAAATACTAATTTACTGATTCATTATTTACTATTATATTATTTTATTATTTTCTTTATTATTTACTATTATATTATTTAACTATAATAATAGTTGTAAGAACTTTATTTTAGCACCCTCCCAGGTTTTCCTCAATAACAGTGTACTCTTGATTTTTTGTTTGTTTGTTTGTTTGTTTTACATTAGGTTCCTTTGGATATACCTTAATTGACAGGAAAGCAATAAGGAATTTTTGCATGAAAATATTTTTAAAATTTTTATTTTAAATAAGTTTTCCAGAACTAATTCAGAATGATCTTCATGTTTGTATAGCAATCTGCTGCTAAAACGTTTTAATATGATTTTGTCTATTCTGTGTTTTATGCCAATTACGGTTTTTTTTTTTTTTTATTCTTCCTGGGTGTGGATAGATACTATAGATTATGATGATTCTGCTCCTGGCTTTAACCCACGGAACATGGGACTGGTAAGGAAAAAAAAAAGAAAAGAAATCTTTTTTATTTCAATTTGCTGCACTGCATTTTCTCAGATACAGGGAACTTTGTGGTTGAATTAGTGTGAACCGGAGATTGAGCGTACTTTAGTGTATTGTTGAAATATAGGAATATATTTATCCAAGCTTGTTATCTACAGGTTTCCCCTGCTTTATGTGGGTTTTGTATGTGCGAATTTGCTCTTGTGTGATGACTCTTTATATCAAAAATTCGTTATATGTGAGGTAAATTCACTTTTATGTGATCAGTGTGGTAGAAGCCCACAGTCAGTTGCTTTGTGTGTGGTGCGTTGTGGGAGTGATGTGCACCAAAATAGTCTCCTGTGTGGATCTGTGCTCCTTGCATGTTGTCTGCGACACGTGTTTCTGTAGTTGCCGTCCCTGTTATGGCTTCTAAGTATCCCGCTAGCTTACTTCACCATCTCTGCTGTTGGTGAATACCAAAATTGTCATGTAAAAGTAGTAGAACTAGGTCTGGGGGTCAGTACAGTCAAGGTCTTGGAATGTATCCCTGTTTGTTACATTGTAAAGTATGTTCCCTTTGTGCCAATTCAAGTTATGCACCATTTTCTAGGAGCGCATGTACAGCATAAAGTGAGGGAAACCTGTATTTAGTGTGGAGGCAAGTTTAGGGATAGCAAATAAGTCACCAGGTCTCTTCATTGAACCAGGAAACAGGCTCTGTGGCCAATCCATGTCTTGATCTATACCTATGGCTGAATTTTTCATTGTCTTGAACCTTGTATTGCCATATGCACCTGTGCAGAATTGAAGTAGATACTGTAATTGGAGTGAGTTGGTGGAGAACACTACTTCAGTAGCATTTACACTTTATGCAGGTGTACAGGACTAAACAAGGTGGAAGACGATAAAGAAGTAGGTTCTTTTCTTCCAAGAGGTGTACACAGTTTATTTTCTGACTCCATTAGAAGAACTGAATAAAGTGCGATCAAATTAGAATTCTCTTCCTGTTCTGCACTGGGGTATAATATTGTGCCTCCATGTTTCACAGGTGTGTGCTAGCAGGCAGGGTGCAAGGCTGTAAGGAATCCAGTCCTTGGAATGTCATAAGCAGTAGCTTTTAGATCATTGCTGTGAGTTGTAGACACAGCTGGCAGAGCTGCTACGTGCTCAGAATACTGTTGGACTTTTATAGCTCTAGACAGCTACTGAAGTTGTCTTTAGACCTTTGAACAGTAAATATTCAGTTCCCTGCTGCCTCTGCTTTCTTTTCTCCTTTGAAATGAAAGTAGGTAGAAATTAAAGTGATTTTCAACACAGAGACTTGCATTTCAGAATCAATTCTGTAATATATTGTTGCAGCCCTGTTCATTAGAAGTTCAAACTTCAAAGGACATAATAAGGATAAAATAAATAATAAGTTTGTTAGTCCTACAAAATGTGGTAATATCAGGGATTGGATATTATAATAGTTTAGAATCATGCCTTTTTGAATAATGTCTAAAAGGCAGGAGCATATTTAGTGGCTTAAATGAATACATTAGCAAATTAGATCTGGTTTCTATTGGAAATGTGTCCACATTACAAAAAGCACACTCACAGTTGTCGTCTTTGTAGGCAATCTTAGCAAAGAGGACTGCTGTGGAAAGCAACCAAAGTCTGAATAGTTAAGGAGAACCTGAACTGTGTGTTTAAATTCTACCATTTTTACCAAAGAGCAGGGCTGAAGTATACTAGAAAGTATTATTTTGTGCTGTTTACTTCTCATGTGGAAAGTCCTATCTTATCTAGTACTTTATCATTTGGCACCTTTCACTCACAAGTCCTACTACTTACTTTACTTAAAAATAGTAAGCAAACCCCCACCCCACCTTTCCACAGACACTAATACAGCTGAACTGAGTGGGTTTTTTTGTTTTTACTTTTGTAGTTCAGGAATGACTCCAGTGAATTCTTGAAAAAATCACTATTGGAATCTGAGAGTGCTTTTATTGGTGAGTTTATTTAGTAGTATTTATACTTTTTATGCAGTGTGTCATTTTATGCAATGTATCATTTGATAGACAAAAGAAAATTGAGATTTTCACAGCAAAAACAAATTATTTGCCTTTCAGTATTTTTAACTCCCTGCCAAGTGAACAGATGGAGTCCTACCCAAACCACCACCATAGGACAGCCCTACCAACCTGGGCAACTATAGACAAAGTGATTATGCTACTGTTCTAAAAATCTCAAGTCACTAGACTTTTTCATAGGGGTTGGCAATTATCAGCATTTAGTTATTGGAAGGTCATCTTAAATTCGTTCCCCCCCACCACTGCAGCAGGAAAAACAATGGTAAAGGGGCAGATGAGGGGTGGGGGGGGCAGGTGGTAGGGGAGTAAAGCAGCCCAAACACTGCCTCTTCCCATCCCCCTGCACCCCCTTGGCACCTTACCTCCTTCTGCCTGTCCCCAAGCCTGTGTGCCCTAGCACGTGCGCCCTGCTATTCCCACCCACCCCTATGCTTGCACCTCCTGGCACCTGCTTCTTTCCCCATTACTGCTCCAGCTCCAGCATGTGGTTGCTCCAGCTCCAGCCCCAGCCCAGCTATTGTAGTGACCGGAGCTCCAGCTGGGCCTTAGAGCTGGAGCTCAGGCCAGAGCCAGTTGATGCTGCTACTGGGCTGGGCTGGAGCAGGGCTGGGGCCATGCCAGAGCTGGAGGGTAAGTGACTGGAGCAAGAAGCCTGTGATGGAGGAGGTGGCGGGCAGGGGCAGAGGCAATGGGCAGGGCAGATTGGGGTGCAGAAGCAGTGAGGAGGGAGCAGCATCTGCAACTCCAGCCTCAACCCTGACCTCGGGTTGGGCCAGAGTTGGAGCTGCAGCAGCTGCCCTCTCCTCTGCTGCCTTGTATTCAAAGCCAAGGCGAGGGGCTTTCCCCTCTTGCATTAAATGGGGAAAAACTTGTCTTGGATTCAAGTAAATATGGTAAATGCATCAGTAGACTTAGGTACTTAGTACATTATATTGCACTGTGCTGAGACCCTGAATTTTTTTTTATTACAAAAGATAGTTGAGCTGCTGCTTTTGTGACCTAGTTTTAGCACGGAGATGACAGTTGATTTGCAGGATGAATCGGATTACACTTAGGCACTGAAGTCTGCTTCAGCACCTAGCATGTGGAGTAGTTACCTCAGTCTTGAAATCAACAAGTCACAAGCTCTTTCCGTTCATATCAATATATTCAGTAAATATGGTATTTGAGGATTCTTGCTCTCAGGCTCCGAAGGTTTATGTGACTTATGGGTGCATGATCACAGTATTCATTTACCAAGATTTGACAGGTTTTTTTTCTGTTCTTTCTGGGTCTCTTACTGCTCCACATGCCTAACAGCATGATTCTGTATAGTGTTGTGCCTCCTTTCACAGAATCCACTGAGGAGCAATGTGAGACGCATCGGTTACGTTCTTTTTAATTTGTTGATGTTATGTAAATTTCATAGTCCAATGTGAAACGAGATGTGTAACTAAGTGTTTGAGGGTTGGACTTATGTCTTTTTTTTAATGCTTTTGCAGAAGTTGGGATGGTTGGGCCTTGTGTGGTATGCAATACAAAGAGCAGTTATAAATGTTTTCCTGTAATTGGCTGTTAAGGTTCTTCCCAATACCACTCAAAAGTCCCAAAGCCTGCAGCTTGTATTCTTTAACAGCAAGAGAGATACAGAAGCTGTATGCCTGTAGATTTTATTATGAAACTAAAAAAAATGCACCAAATGCATAGTTTTTAATGTGTAGCCATTGCCTCTTCGAATCCAGCTAAGGGAAGGAATACTTAGTGTCTGTCTTTATAAAATCAGACTTTGTGTTGGGAAATTACTTAAATTCCTTTTATGAATTACCTGATACTGGAAAGCAACATATAATGTGGGAATCTCTGCAAGGGGAATCTTTCTACTTGATTCTGTGAGTAGCCTGCACTCAGACTCCTCTCATACTAGAAAATGTTTCAGTTATTTAAATTGTGAAAGGATGCTCAGTGGTATGTAAGGTGTAAGTATAAAGTATTAAGGTAGTGCCTGTCCCAAAGAACTTGTAGTCTGCAAAATAAATATCAAAAGATGGCGTATTCTGGCAAACCCAAGTAAGGTGGTGACAATAGACTCTCCATAGCCTACTGGTTTGAAGATGCTTCTGGCTGTGAAGGGTAAATCTAGAGTATGCTTTGCAAGAAAAACTTGCATTCAATGTAAAAATACAAATAAAAGCACTGTTTTTGTCATCTGTTCCCCCCCCCCCCTTTCATAACTTATTTTCAAACAGTATACCATATTCTGGCATATCGCCAGACAACAAGTAAGAATGGAAGTATGGGTTTAGTTATACAGTAGTTCCTACTTGTGTGCATCTCTGCTATGCAACAAACAAAGATTTGAACTAGGAAGACTGGCACTTGGCGATTTTTTTACAGGGAGTCTTGTGCAGTATATTATAGATATGTACAGATGTTACATTTCTACTGGAAGAATCACCACTCTCCTAATAGAAATGACAAGCTTATAAGTGTTAATTCAATTTCTTCTGGGGGAAACATGCCTCTTCTGGCAGATCTTCCAGGTCTCAACCTTTTGCAAGAGTGCTGGGATTACACTGATGTCTGGAGGGCATAATGAGCAGGAGAAAATGGGTGGTTGTAGGCTGAACACCTGTACTGCTCCTTCTCCTGGAATCATTTCTAGCAGTGGACATTTTCCACTGCTAGAAATTAATGACTGGTCATGGCCTATGTCTGTCCCTAGTCAATCCTTATAGTTCCTTTTCATTAGTACCAAATGCACATTCAGGGTTTTGAAAAACTGCTTGTAAAAAAACCTACTGATTGATAGATGTTAGATTTTATGTGGTAAGAATCCAAGTGAAATTAGAAATAAAAACTGCTGTTGTCTGTGGGCTACTTTGTGAATTATGATGTCATTTCTGTAGAGGCTTGTAATAGATTATAGTAAAAAATTTTGAGCAATATTGGTAGGTTTCCAGTGGAAAATGCTAGAATCAGTCTTTCAGCTGGCTTGCTAGAAGGTTAAAATATAAGTCAATATTAGTTTGGAAAGCCAATGTATTTCATAGATTTTGTAGACATTAGTAGGGGCTGGAAGGGACCTTGTGGGATCATCAAATCTAGTGTGTTGTCCTGTCCTGTCCGTCCCG